GGTCACGCAGAGCATGCAAGCCCCACATATAAGGCCTCTGCCGTGCGTATGGAGCATGGTGCTCTGTGTGTGTGTGTGTGTGTGTGTGTGTGTGTTAGTTTTATTCCATTTTATGGAGGACTTTGGAGTTAATATTATAAATATATATATATTTGTGTTTAGAAAAAAAAACATTAAAAAATCTCAAATGGTTTTACAGGTTAATCATAAAAGAAAAGTCTCAAGTGAAAATTGCACAATGTGTGTAGGCCTGTTAAAAAAGCCTGATAATATAGTTTCCTTATTGTCTATAGATTGTGTATTAAAGCCTAAATAAAACAAGTGAATCTCATTAATTCTTGTTTGTTGATTTAACTCTATTTACAGCCATTATTAGATCTTAAGTCAAGATGAGTAAGAGTGAAGTAATAACATAGATTGTGTTTTATTGTTATTTTATTTAGAACCACCACCTCTCTGCCGTTCAACTTTGCCTTCAGATGTGGCTGTTAGTGATGTGTTGGGCTGAAAATGATTTATTAACTTTTTTTTGTTAGTGAAAACAGCAGACATGGCCCTACATTTGTGCAAAAACTATTAAAACAAAGCAAAAACATTTACCATAATAATATTGCACTCTGTTAAATTTAATCAAACCATTAAAGAAAATAAAACAACTTTCTCATGTGCATTTTACTTCTCATTTATTTCTGTTCTGAAAAGAGAAGCAGTCAGCCTCTCATTAATGCAGTTGGTCTATCACACATTTAAGACATACTATTTAGATAATACAAATTTATAGCATACATACGGTGGCTTATCATGACTTTATTTCAGATTGAGTGATGTATCCAGGTACTGTGTGGCCCCTCAGTAACTTTTCAGATGTTTCCATTTGACCAGCGCCATCTAGCGGTGAACTTGTCTCATAATTAAAACACTTTCGTCCATTAATAAAAACTTCTGCAGTTGTAGGTGACACAACCAGGAATTTATACTAACGTCCCAAAACATTTCTGATGCAGTTTAGTGTAAATAGCCTATAGTTTATCCGACTTTTCATCCTGGCATACATCTCTAAACAACTTGCCTCTATAAATATAAATAGAGTTTTATATATAATAAACGCACTGCGCTATTGTAAAATGAATGAGTGAAAAATAGAAACAGTAATTTCTGCATACACTGATCGTTATTTGTCTTCATTATAACAGATTGAAGCCTCTATTTTATTTATTATTAATCACCTGCCACTTCCTAGTTTGAAATAACTGTACTATCATCATTTAATTCACTTTTATTTTGATTATTGGTTTTTAATTTATGGATAAAATATAATCTGATAAAAACTCGTCAGAGAAAGTTAGACACACACTCGCTAATCACGTTTTATATGAATTAATTGCATACATTTTGATTAGTTCTTTAAAGCAAAGTGAAGGAATAAGGCTTGTCCATGGATGTAGACGAGCAGGGTGAGACTCGTTCATGCTGAAACTGATGTTGTTTTAATCGAATCCGCTGTTATAAGCTTTTTGGCCTCACTGATATATTATCTCGATCAATAACCAGTTCATATCGATTGTGTTGTATCTCATCAGGAATGATAGCAGGCTAAAACACTACACAATGGGTTTATCAATAACAAAAAACAAACAAACAAACAAAAAAACACGTATGCCTTCATTGGAAAGAAGTTAATGTGCCTTATTTTAAAAATTTAGTTTGTCATCAGATTTGGTCAGGTCTGTTTTCACAAGATTGCTTTAGTTTAATTCTTATACAAAACTAAAAACCTAATAAAGTAGAGATTACAGAGCCAGAAAGATTCGAAATTAAACTCAAGCACAAGAACTCTTATAGAAACTTATTTCAATGACACTATCAGAAAAAAAAACATGAATGAAGTCCAGGCGATTTTTTCTCCCCCCTTTTAAACCGACACTTACAACAGCAGCACTCGCATGTGTGGTAAACCACCTTTAAAGTGTTTCTAAATTCCCCCTTTGCGATCCGAGGGTGTTTCCGTGCCACGGGGTACCGAGAAAGCACTTAGCTGTTTAAACGCAATCCCTGCCTGCCTGCCTGCCTGCCGCCTCTTGCTCTGACAAACCCCCTGAGTGTCACCAAAACGGTCCGTCGGAGAGAGGGTCTGTGGGGCATGTGATGATGTATCACATGCAGAAAAGGCGAGACAAAGTACCAACAAAGATACTGTGCGTGCGGTGGAGTGGAGAGAAGAACAAGCCACATCTGTATGAGGACTATCACACTCAGCCAGGTTTAAAAAAAAAAAAATATATGAAATTGCTTGATTAAAATTTTAAATATTTCTCTGTATTCAATTTCAACGGGAATATTTAGAATATAAATACATAATAAATGTAAAAACACTTGGAGGGTATAAATGCCTTGGATACTTTTGGATACTTTGGTCTCTCAATATTTCCAAAAATAAGATCTGTTAACGCTCCGCAGTTATCCAGCATAGTTAGTTCAAGCCTATTTTCAAATGTGTTCATATTACTGAACCAAACAGTTGATTGATTGCTAAGAAGGAGGCATGTGATTCTCATGCATGACAAAAAAAGATATATGAGCTAATTGGTGTTGTTATACCAATTATTAGGCCTTATGTTCTGGTTATGAATATATGAGTGTTATACTGTATGTTGTGTGTATGTTTATTTTTGTCTACAAGGGAACATGCTGATTTGTTATGTTTATTTTTTTATTTATTATTTAGATGTGTGTGTGTGTGTGTGGGGGGGGTATTATTGGTGCTGCAAATATTTGCTAGACATGCAAGTTTAGGCTAACTAAATAAAAGAAAGAAAGAAGAATAACTGATCATCATCATTATTATTAGTAATATTTAGCTATTCATTCATTATTTATTTTGAAGTTTAGTTTTTTTACAGAATATGTTTAAGATATGCCCCTATCATATATGTGTGTTATTTGATTTTAATTGAACAGCTCTATGTGAAAATGTTTCTTTCTAGACTGAATGTTTTGTGTTATAATGTTCAGCACCATACAGGAGACGAGGTTTGTCACCTAACAGCAGCCTAAAAAGACCAGAATGCAATGCAGGGTTGTGTTTTGAGTGATCGGCCCTAGTCTTACCTTCATCCCAGCTTACTTCTGCTTCTTCAGTGCAACAAGCTGGAAACCCTGAAAACTACCTAAAAGAGAAACAGATAAAGCTAGATGAGGTGAAATCTCTTAACTCGCTCACACACACACACACACACACACACATTGATCTACGGGATTAAAGATGATTTGAGGTGAATTTTCAAAGAGAGTGCACTAACTGATATCATATCCTCCTATTTTATTCTCCTGTTTTATGGATTTGAGTCATTTCTCATCATGAAAACATCAGTGTGAAGTTACTGTAATAAAAGACCCCAATTCACAAATTAATTTGCTATATTTGGGCAAAAAAGATATAAATCACATCATATTTATTTCATATTAAAGGACAATACTGCTGTTACTGCAATCCATTTGTCTTATATTCCTAATAAATTACAATTACATTGTTGTAATTGTACATGTCTTCCTCCTTCTGCCACAACAAATCATCCATCTTTTAAAGGGGAGAGTGAATGTACAGTGAGAAGTAATTACACAAATATAACGGGTGTTCATCATAAAACAATTGTCTTGTGAGCATGCCAAAATTGCTCTATAAAATGTAAATTTAACACTCAGTAGTGTTCTGGTCTATAATAAAATGCCTCATGCTCTTTCCATGGGTGCCTAACATCTCCATGTAACATGACCACTCAACTAGTGACTGTGTAATAAACCTATGTCCATCTTAATGAAGCACTATCACCTGCAGCTTGAACTATACTTTCATCAAACAACGCAAACCAACAAGGTAGTGGAAGGATTTCTTAGTGTTTTAATTTTGAATCACCCTCCCTTTGAGGCAAGACTTGGGGAGAGTGAAACATAATCTTAGCCAGAGAATGCATTCAACAAATGGTGGAGTTTATTCCCAAACATATGAAACCACATTGTAAAGTTGTTGTGTCAAATCTTAACATCATCTTAGTGATCCTATGATAACCATCCCATCATCTGAGTTGCTTTGATCCACAGCCCAGAGGACCTCTGAATGGGGAGTCTTATTTCAAAACAGGATGAGGGTGTCATTGTCATAGGACACAAGTTGTTTTGCACAGCTTACAGGCAATCTGACCATCCTGGAGGTATCCACCCCTCCTATTTGAAACTCTACAGGTTGCCAAAAAATCCTGAAGAGAACAAGGGATCTTGTTGCTCAGACTAAGTATTGGATGACAATCCCTTGTCTTTGTCTGTTCATCGCAATGACCTTACAAAAGAGCCCTGAAAATACTCACTTCAGCAAGCAATCACTTCACCTTCCACGCTATCTTAAATGTCTATGCACATCGTGCACCTGCATGTGCTTCACAGTAAAAGCCTTCCACTCTTGGAGATGGAGAATCTGACAAAAGCAATGAATTAAGTACAGAGGCATCAGTGGAAGACTTTTACATGTAAAGCACCTGGATGGAGATGACAGTAACACACAAGTATGAGTGAGGTAGTCTAGCTTGCCTGTTGCTTGAACTTAGTAGATGTCAGTCTAAAGATTGATTGAATTAATGTTTCTAAAATGGTGCATAATGGTTACGTATAATATTATTATTTCATTTATGGTGTTTATTTATTTATTATATTTGTATTTCATCATACAGTAACACAGCTCATTCCAGAGGTATATAGAAAACCCCATGAAGTTTAAATAAGCGTTATCTGTTTAATACATGCATACAAATTTAAAATATCTTGCATATCTTCTCAATCTGGGGAAGCCCAAAATCTAAACTCTTCTGACTCTAATCTGAATCGTTACATTTCACTGATAAAAGATAGGTTTGAGCACGAATGTGTTAAGGGAGTGGTGAAAGTGTTGCCTGCGAGGCTAAACTCGGGGCAGAAAAAGACACACGGCAAGATTGCGCTTTTTGCCGTACGTCACTTCCTCCCTCCTCTCTCTCTCGCTTCCATCTTGCTCCCCGCATGTGTCTGCTGTTAGTGTACAGGTCAGTGAGGAGCTTTAAATACCTTCTTCCCTGCACTGTTCCCCCCCGATCCGACGGCGAGAGGTAAACGAAAGCCTGTCCTGTTATAGGTGGCTGAGTTGTGCCGGGCTTTGACGCTAACGTTGCTGACGGCTCTGTGTGTCTGTGTGAGAGGCTGTGAGTGACAGGCCGTCCACTGCACAGTCTCCCAGTTAGCTGAGAAAGTTAGCCTACAAGTTCTTGCACAAAAGCTAAAACCACACCTTGTTTCGGTGCAGTGGGTTGGCTGCATTAGTCAGCAACCGTTAGCGGAAACCTGTCTGACGTTACCCGCTGTTAAGTTGTGCCCACTGCAGCCTTTTAATAATGTGGCTGTCTTTAAGCTTGTTGTTCACAATACAGATAACAAATGGGGTGAGCCATTAGCTCTAGGTAGCTAATGAACCTCAAGCGCTTTTGTGGCACTGACAGCTCCTTACTGGTCTTCTTCTGGTCTTATCGCTTTGAAAACGGTCTTTCCGTCGACCATCACACCCACAACAAAGCCTCTGCTCCCCGCCTGTGTGTATGTTATGTATGTATGTATGTGTGTGTTGTGTTGATGAAGTAGGATGTCCATAACATCGCATCACTTGTGTACACCTTGTTTATCATTAGGATGCATTTCTGCCATTTTCCCAGAGACACAGTAAGCATTTGTGATTTGTGAGGCCCAACCCAAAGAAATCAGACCCAGACAATGTCAGCATTGTGTGTATTTTCATGTAAATATTTGCGAGTTCATAATGTTATAGAATCAAAATCTTGAAATTTTGTACAGTATTTTATTAGTTTAAATTTTATATAGTTTTTTCTCTATGCTGGTAAGGGAATGTGTGCAAATGTGCACGCATACAACTTCCAAAAGGGAAAGTACCATGTCTTTGTAATGAAGCAGTGATGTTGGTGGAGAGGCTGCGCTATCTCCTGTTGGCATGTATTTATTGCAGTAACACCAGAGTGGCTGCTGAGGTTGTGATTTGCCAGAGAGGCAGCGCAATGAGGAATAAAAACAAAACAATCTATTCTGCAGGACTCATCTTTGTTCAGAATAACTCTCAGCACGTCACATTTCTTGCTGCACCAGGTGTGTTTGTGTTCCCAAAATTCATGTAATCTGAATGCAGGGATCAGATACACAGCCATTTGGTCATGTTACAGCCCCCAAGGCTATAGCTCATTCGCCTGAGGTCTGTCACCATCTATTTTCCTTTTCCATTATCCTTTACGCTCCATACGTTTACCACATTGTTTGTGTTCTGGGTTAGATTTTTAAACAGAAGGCTCAATGAGCTCAGAGCCTCCAGTCATGAATGAAGCATATCACGCCCAGTGTGTGCTAGTCATAAAACACATGAGGCAAGTTCTTGTGAGTTCATTGGTAAACAGAAGGCTAGGTGAGGAGCTGCAAAGCTTTCAGGGAAGCATTCATTTTTGTGCTCAGCTGTACATGCATTACAGATGCGTTACTGCTGGGCTGTAACATTGCAGCTCACGTTCTTGTTAGAGATGATGAGGTGAAAGTAAAAAAACAAATGAATAGGTCTCTGAGGGTTCATCTCATTCATCCAGACAAGACTAAATACTGTACTGCAGCTTATACAGCTTATAATGTATTAATACTGTAAGGATATTACTCTTTGAATCAGTATAAGAAAAGAAAGGTGGTTTCATTTACTCTAAATTTATGTTTTTTTTTTGTTATTTGATGTCAGACAACTACAACTTTGTGTGTTACAGTTCCTTAGTTGCGTGGTGTGCTTTGTGTCTTGGTTCCCTCTTTGTGCTGTATTTTTTTAGTAACCTGCTGCAGCGTGACATTTTGTGATTTACCCCTAACATGAGTTTCTGTTTTAACTGTTTGTGAGATATATGATACTCTAGATCAGCTGTGCCAGTGACACTAACATAATTGCATGTAATGTACTTTCTATTTTTCAGATGAAAGAAGCAATTATGAATCAAGAAAAACTTGCTAAACTGCAGGCACAAGTCCGCATCGGCGGAAAGGTAATTGACAAAATAAATGCATTATTACAGGTGACATGAAATGCTTGATTTTCTGCAAAGCCGTCAGTGATCTCTGCTATTTCTTAATGCCTGACTACATACTTAGTTTTAAGGGTTTAGCACCAGGTAGTCATTACAAATGGGGCCACATCATCAACCCAGTTACTGCATACTTTACTGCACCAACCTAAAAAAATGGAGAAAAGAAATGCTCTGACGTAAAATACTGTACTATTTTGGTAGATAATATTGAGACACAAGGCTGAAATGTCAGGCAGTGCAGCTCCATACATCTTCAGCTGTGAATATGCCTTTTAAAGGTAGTTTCTATGACAACCAACAATTTTATCTATAGTTTGTGTTGCATAGCAGCAGTAATTTTAGGCAACAGTGTGCTGTAGGCCAGAGAGGGTACTAAAAACAGTTTTCAGCTTCTAGGGCAAAAAAGGTTTAATATCTAGCCTACAAGTTATGTTAGATACAGAAGATGATGCTTTAATACATCCTTAAGAATCGAAGGTTTACACAAAAATATGATTGTATGAATTTCCCCATAGGGTAGTGCTCGCAGAAAGAAGAAGGTTGTACACAGAACAGCAACCGCAGATGACAAAAAGCTCCAGTTCTCCTTAAAGAAACTTGGTGTCAACAATATCTCCGGCATCGAAGAGGTAGGCAGAAACTTTGATCTCAGTTTTGTCCCACCGTGATTCAAGGTGAATCTGTGTCAGTACCGGCCTTCATTTCGTTGCTGACAGTATAAAACTTTGGTCTGTTACAGGTTAACATGTTTACAAATCAAGGAACAGTCATCCACTTCAACAATCCCAAAGTGCAGGCCTCCCTCGCAGCCAACACCTTCACCATCACTGGCCACGCTGAGACCAAGCAGCTGACCGAGATGCTGCCGGGTATCCTGAACCAGCTGGGAGCAGACAGCCTTACGAGCCTCAGGAGACTTGCCGAGGCTCTCCCCAAACAGGGTCAGTAATTTATAATACTAAAACATATTCAGCAATGTTGAATGAAGCATATCCCTCTCTATAAATTCATGGCTGTATTTTCTGTTTAGTGAAACTTGTTTCAAGAGATGAGTCTTTACCCTTAAGGATTGTCTGTTTCTGGCCACTTGACCATTTCAACTGCCCGTCAGGCTTCTCACAGATCTTTTTTCTGCTCTCACAGCTGCAGATGGAAAAGCACCGATTGCAACAGTAGAAGAGGAAGATGATGACGTTCCAGGTGGGTGCCTTAAATGTCTCATTTTGCACTTCACTGAACTGTCCATGTACATTAGTCTGTTCCACCATTCAAAATACCATTCAAAATTACTTCCGTGTCTCAGGTTAAATGTGATCCTCTGGAGTGAAACTCCTTCAAAGTCTTATTTGGAAATACTCCTTCACACTTGTCCATTATCAGACCTTTTTTTTTTCTTTCTCGGTTAAATAACCATGGCAGGTTTGTTTTTCTTTTGGCTTGTGAAAGGGGTCATATGAAGGGGATTCATCAATGACTTTACGTGATGGTGCAATGCAGCGTTTTGTGTTTGAATCTCATGTTCATTGTTTATAAGATCTTAAGATCCAGTTTGCTTTTCTTTGTGAGCAAAATGGGCCAAACACATGAGGTTGCCATTACAATAATCTCAGCTTTTCCCAGGGCTTCTCTCCCCGTAGCCTTAGTTCTCACTAATGTAACAAACGATTACACATGTATTCAGCAATAGAACAGTTGAAGCCTGATGGCACAGGGTTAACAGACACTGCCATCATGTTGTTATTAGAGTTAAGTTTCCTTTTTGTTCTCCCACTGCAGGAACATGTTTACTCAGACCTTTTGGATTGTTTCCAGTTTAACCCTCGACCCTTTAAGCCAAAACTTGGAAAGGCAGATTTCTCACATTTCATGGAGTAATTGAAGCCAACTTTTTGATGCTTTACGCCATAATTTTTGCAGCTGCTTTCAGTAGTTGTGAGGGCCTTCATATGCCGAGCACATTGCAGTCTATATAGGAGTGGGGAAAGATGAGCAGAGAATTGGGATTGCATTACACCTATTATGTTTCAGATAAACACGCCTTTTCCTGAATTGGGCTCTGGCACTTCATTCTCTGGCAGTCATTTGCGCAGATGGACATGCCTTTCTCTCCAACTCAGCCAATTTACCACTGAATCTTTTGTTGTTTCAGACCTGGTGGAGAACTTTGACGAAGCATCCAAGGATGAGGCTAACTAGAGGAAAAGGGACTCCCTGGAGTGTCAAAACTTGACAGGACCATGTGGGGCACAAGATGTTTTTCTGTCTATTTTGAGAGGTGGAATGTTAATAGTTAAAGTACCTAACGTACCTGTACCAGTAACTGAGAAGATGGATAATCTGTCAACCTTTGGCTGTGAGAATTCTGTAATATGTGCAACACCTGAACAAAGTACTTGTATACTCTTAAGTGAATTATTTTTGAATAATTTTCTAGAATAGTACTCTGAAGTATTAAAAAACGGGGGGTAACAGTATTTAAACATAAGGTATTTTAGTACTCATTCCACCTCTTTTTCACCAGAATCTCCAAATGCTTGTTGTGCTCTGTGGTCTGTATGTCCGGTTAGAGTGAGAGATTGTGTGTAAAATGTGGTGTTTAAGGCTCCTGCTGTACATCTGTTTCCTCATGTTACTGAACCTTAATTTCCTTGTGGCCTCGCTCAAACCACCATATCTGGATAAACCTTTGCTACTGTCAATAAATTGCCAACATTTCTGTGTTTCTTTTAAGTACTATTTCCACTGCTGAAATACTGTAGCACGCTTTAGTGTGCAGGTTGATCTTGGCCAGACTGTTTACATCATTGTAGCAACTCAGTTAAAGGAGAACTTCACTGAAAAATCTAGTAGATTTGAAATGATTCTCCCTGCTTGGATCACAACTGCATCATCAGGTGTTGGGTTTTGCATAATGTATAAGATATTACCTGTAGTATTATGATGTAGATACAAATAAGACCTCATAACATAATCATATACATAAAGACAGAATAAATGTATAACCACAAACATGCTGGCAGCACGACTGTAGGGTTGGTGATGTTGGTCAGTTGACCAGTTAAGTCCAGACTGAATTATCTGAGTGACTATTAGCTGGATGGCCATGTAGTTTAGAACTGACATTCATGGCCTCCCAGAGGATGAGGGCTATCAATTTTGGTGATCCTGACTTCTCTACAACAATTATGAGGTTGACATTTGTGGATTGTTGTGAAATGTCTGAACCATTGAAAGGATTGCTGTGACATTTCGTACAGACATGCATATCCCCCCCAGGAGGAACTGTGCTGACTTTGGTAGTCATCTGACCTTTACCACTATCATCCGGTCTAAAATAAAATGTCCATACAAGCCAAATACTAGAATACCAAACTAAAATGGTGAACATAGGAAATATATCTGCTTAACTTCAGCTTGTTGGCATCATTGAGAGCATGTTAACAGCACAGCAGTGTACCTAAGAATGGCACAGAGCTGCTACCATGGCTGTAGCCTCTTATGAAACATAGCTCATTATTATGAAATGTTATTTCATCATTCTACTTTTCATAATAGGAGCTTATTGTGGATCCTTTTTTTTTTCCATTCCCACAGCTTTTATTTCTAAATGTCATCTTCCCCAATGACCTGCCTCAGTGTAACTTTCCATTCATTCACTGTGTGTCAAACATGACAAACTGGCCACAGCCAGTTAGTGATTGGCTTTGAGACTTTGAAAAAATGACTATTTGAAATAAAAACTGCTGGACTAAAGACCCACAATAAGCAGTTATTATGAAAAGAAGCATGATGAAATAACTCATAATTTTAAAAGATAATGAGTTTGTTTTACTATATCATGGTTATATTTTGGCTATATTCATTCAAATGATTATTTGTTTGGCTTATTTTGAACACTTTTGGTACAGAATTTAATAATAGTACCCTACAGTTATTATTATTTTCTTAGCTTGTAACTGGATAGCCCTATAGCTTTACATTCAGTGATACAGGCTTCTCTCCTGTCTTACTATCTATCCCTTCTACCCACTAAATAAGTGTATATTCTCCACATAACTGTGACTCTGTTGACTGCAGTTTAAAAAGATATTTTAATTAAATAACAGCTTGATTTCCATTACTATAAACAGTGGTTTGACCTTTCTGACTTGCAATCAGATAAATATCTTTACAGAATGATGTCCGAGACTGAGGTCAGTACAAGTAATTTCTTGATACACCACTTACAGTATGACTGGTATAAAACACAAGCACAGTCGTACAGTGGCAAACAGCACCACAATAACCCCGTGGGACATTTAAATGAGGTGTGAGGTCACAACACATCAGTAGAAATTAGTATCACAATACAGAGAAACACAAAGGACTTACACCAATATGATAATTTTATCACATTACGACACAATGTCCAAATTATTCAAATAAATAAACTCAGTACAACCAACACAAACATCTTCAGGAACAACAAACAGCTTGGCAGAAGCACACAGTCTGTGCCACAGGCATTCCAGTACGTAACCAAGTATTTCCAATCCACCCACTGCAGTCTTCAGAGGAGCCTCACAAATGAGCTCACTATGAAGACCAGACAGCATGAATGTGAGGAAATTCACTGTATTATATTAAAATTCTTTAACTCTTCAGAACGGTTTATTATTATGGTTAATAAGCTCGTTTAAAAACACTTGCCATGACGGGAAAAGGATGGAACTGCAAATGATGGCATGTAATGTAAATATACAATATTAAAAGATTCAAAACAAAACCTCCATGCGTATTTAAATCAAAATCAACCCTACACTGCACATTTTGCAGCATACTACAGGTGCAGTGCAGTGCATGCTGGGTTGTAGTGAAAAAGGTAACTTTTTACGTTTCTGTTGAAAACCTGTCAGTGTATCTCGAGCAGATTTGCTACTCCCCATTCAGTGTGAAAAAGTGCAGAGTAAAGCAGTTTGGAAGATTGAACATTTACACGGCACAAACCTTCACGTGCATCATGCCAACAACATAATATTGATATGATGTAACGCTGTTGAAATGTCACTTAACGGAACAAAATATTTCTGTTGGCCGACAGCCTGGGCGTGCTACATGATTGTCCAGAGCCCAGTGTTGTCCCTTCAGTATTTGTTTTCCTCAAGTGTCACAGTTCATTCTCTGATTCCCATCAGTAACTTCAGTAAGTGTGCCTCCATCACCTGTTGAACTAAACAGAGAAACACAAGATAGTTTAATTGAGCTGTGTGTCATTTCTAAGTGGACAGTGACTTTTTTCTGAGCAGGCTTTTACTATCTTTGGAGCAGCAGCATTATCAACAACTCACCTGCTCAGTAGTACAAACTTGAATTATGTATATTTAGAGGAAATCCAACTTGCCTCCTTCAATGCTCACTTCTGAGTCATGAGTCAAAGTGACTTTATTTCAAGGGATTGTGAGACTCAAATTAAATAGAAGAAAATGTTTCTCAGCCTTTCTGTATCTACATGTTTTTTAGGCTAGTGATTAATTTACACATACCATTCCGGTGGCCCATAGCCACAGCCATGTCCATTGCATTGAATCCAGAATCTGACTCTATGGTAGGGTCAGCACCACTCTCTGAGGACACACAGACATACCAACACTTTACTATTGTACAGGTTGATGTCTGTTGATGGGTGTTACTTTGAGTGAAATATTTGTCCTTACCTAACAAGATTTCGACACAGCGCACATGGTTCCCGTGGACAGCGTACAGCAGAGGGGCTCCTCCATTCTGAAATCCACAACAGAAACATCAACAAGGCACATGGACTGACGCCTCCTTACTTTTTTGTTGTTATATTCTACTTAACCACGTCAGATGAACATGTGATAATGACATGTTAGTATTCTTACCCAGTCATATTCATTGACGTCAACCCCGCAGTCAATGAGCATCTTCACAATATCGGTGTATCCCTTACTGCAGGCCAAGGACAATGCACTTTCCCTCCCTTTGGCCAGGAGGTTGGGGTCAGCACCCTACGGCAAAGAGTGATACAAAACGATGACCAGTGAATACACAAAGAGCACATGGTCTAATATGAGGAAACCTTTACTTTTCCATACATTTTGGAGCAGAAACTCGACAACAGCAATTTGTCCATGTGCAGCTGCCCACATCAGGGGGGTAAAGCCTTCCTCGTCTTGGAGATTGATCACAGTCTCTATTAAAATGATACAGAAACAGATTTTTTTTTTTTTTTTAAAACCCCAACATGATCACTACATATATTTTCATCATCATTCATACGCACTTATCCTTCTACCGTTTCTTGTTTAGCATGTGATTTATATGAAATAATAACATCAGTAGAGCTGAAAAGATTAGTCGACTGACAGTAATACTTTTCGGGCAAAACTGCCAAACGTTTTCTGCTTCCTGCTTCTTAAATATGAGGATATGTTGATTTTTACTTGTCTCATTTGACAGTAAACTCTTTGTCTCTGCTTTTTGGATTGTTGGTCTAACAAAAGACGACACGTGAAGACGTCATCTGGGGCTCTGGGTAAATCTGGTGGCTAATTTATCAGCCATTTTAAGGACAAATCAATCAATCGTCAAATTAATCTGTTATAAAAATAATTGTTGGTTGCAGCCCTAAACACTAATGGTTATTGCCCGTTTGAGGACCCAGATGGACAGCCTACCTTGTTCAATCCTGCTGGCCAGAAACACCATTTCACCCTGGGCCGCGAGCTGATGAATGGACAGAGCTGAGGGCGAAAAAAAACATGCATGATTAACATTTTGACTTGATTCTATGAATAAATCAATAAATGAGCTGAAAACAAACTGTGGTACTTACAATGCACCAAAAGAGGCGTGGAAGAAACTTCATTGCCACGGTGTTTATTGGTGAGTGTGGTGGACTGCTTGATGGGGGAGAAATGTTTGGTGGTGGATGGTGTGTAAACATGGCGTACCTGTATACCTGGGGAAGGGGAGGTCTGGATATTGCACTCAGCTGAAAGACAAGGAAGACATCGTGTGGTAAGTAAGCTCACATTAGTTGTGCGTTATAACAAAAATGTAAATGTCCTTGCTGCAACCTCGAGACACATAAACGGGGTTCTTACCTTTAAACAAAACAGACGCCACCTCCAGATCAGAGTTGACCTGGTCCTGGATGTTCTTGCTGTCTTCCTCATTGAGCGACTTGACGAATCTGGAGCAGACATTCATGTCAAAGCGGTTGGGCAGGATGAACTTGATGCCCATGGCCACGTTCTGGGTCCCTGGGTCGTCTCCTGTCGACTGCTCAGTCTTGATGGCACCCAAATCCGGCATCACACAGATCCCTTCCATGTCCTCGGGTGCCAGAGGACACTCTCCTGTCCCATCTGAGGCCGACACGGTAACGCTGTCCATCCTCTGCTCACTCACTGAACTGTCAAACTGAGGTGAAACTGAAGCCACTGCAAAGCCTGAAACGCGGACACGAGTTATATTGACATTAAATGGGTACGTTTTGTTCCTAGTTCACACCGCGTACAGCGTTAACATGCCCTAACGTTGGCTGACGGCGCTAATACAGATACAGTAGGTCCTAATGTTAATAATGTTAAATACCTACCAACTGTCTGTTAGCATGTTAGCTATTGTTCTCGTAACCTTCCGTTAGTTACCGACTAACTGTGGCAAATACAGGTGAACATGGAAATACGTGCAGCGTAGACGTCGAACTAGCTGTTCCAACATTA